TTAAACATGGGTCAACAATTGCAGAATCAAGGAAATTAATTACAAATTCAAGGAAATCAATTACAAAATCAAGGAACTGCTTTTAAGAATATTGAAAATCAATTAGGGCATATCGTTACTGCACTTAGTAACCGAACATTAGGAACTTTTCCTAGTACTCTGGAACCAAATCCCAAAGATCAAGGAAAAGAAAAAAATAAAAGCGATATAATTACGAAGTGGAAGAGAATTGAAAATAAGAGTACAGAAAGAAACGAAAATTAAGAAAGAGAAAGTGGATATAGAAAAAGAAAATGATCATGAATACCCAGAATTAGAATATCCACTTACACAAATGAAAATTACTATCGAGAAACCTCCACCACTGTTTCCTTAAAGATTGAAGCAACACAAACATAATAAACAATTTTCTAAGTTTTTAGAAATTCTTAAGAAATTAATGGTAAATATTATCCTCGTAGAAGCTTTAGAGCAAATGCCCGATTATGTGAAATTTATGAAAGATATTTTGAACAAGAAAAGGAAGTTCACTGATAATGAAATTGTTGCACTTAGCTAAGAGTGTTGTACAATTATTTAGAAAAAGCTTCCTGAAAAATTAAAAGATCCTGGTAGTTTCACTTTACCATGTGCTATCGGTGAAAAATTTTATGGAAGAGCTTTTTGTGATTTGGGAGCCAACATTTATCTTATGTCTCTATCAATTTTCAAAAGATTAGGATTAAGATAAGTCTCACATACTTTTTGTAACTCTTCAGTTAGTGGATCGTTCAGTTACATATCGTAAGGGAGTTATAGAAGATGTGTTAGTAAAAGTTGATAAATTTATCTTTCCTGTGAATTTTTTTCCTGTGAATTTCATTATTTTAGATATGGAGGAAGATAAAGAAATACTTATCATTTTAGGGAGACCATTTTTAGCTGCTGGAAAAGCTATGACAGATGTTTAAAAAGGAGAATAACTATGAGAGTTAACGATCAAGAAGTGACTTTTAACATTGTGAAATCTATGAAATACCCTACTGTTGAAAGAGATAATGAATGTTTTTGCATGAAAATTAGTGAACATCTATAGATAAACATTTTAAAAGACATTTTGAAGAGAAAGAACATTTTAAAGAGAAAGAACAATTTGAAGGTACTGATGAAGTTATTTTGGAAGAAATAGAAAATGAAGAATTAGATTATGTTCAGGAAAGATTTGAGATGCTGGATATTACAGAAAATGCTGATAAGGATCTAGTTCCATCAATTATAAAACCACCTGAACTTGAGTTGAAAATATTGTCTAGCCACTTGAAGTATGTGTTTCTGGGA